TTTTTTTTTTTTTTTTTTTTTAAGGATCACACCGTCAACCCAACCCAAAAAGTCAGAGGGAGCCGGCACAGGCAAGCGTGTCCTCGAAAAAAGCCATGAACTAAGGAAACAGGGTGGAGAGATGAAAGGACGCCAGTTTAATTGTGAAAGAGTTAATTATTAAGACGGGCTGAGGGAATGGGTGGGGAAAAACAAACCACATTTTCAGGAAGGGCAGGGAGCAGGGGGTGGGATATGGTTTTAAAACCATGGCAGCTGAGAGGGAAACATAGCAAGGCAAGGAAGGGTGGGCGATGTTTTTTTACAGGAGGGAAGGAAGGAAGGCGGCTCTCTTGCCCAGTCCCTCAGATGAGGGTCTCTCACCTTCCATCAATTCAAGGCGGATGGGTCGTTTTCCCTTCTTCTCCCCCCCCCCCCCAACCTCCACCTCCATCCAGCCCGGCCTCTCTCCCGGGACGGCCTTTCGCGGACAGGCGCTCACCAACGTTGCCTCGAGGAGCCGTCCCCGTCAGCCTGGGCCTCCAAAACAACAACAACCGGCCAGCCGCCAGCCGCGGGAGGCAGCGGAGGGGTCCCAACGTTACACCGCTCCGGCCCGGCCTCCGTGGCGCCTCCCTCCCTCCCGCCTCTACGCGTTGCGGAGGGGTCGAGGCGTCTCTCCACACGACGGCCGCCGCCAGGAAGGGATACCCGGGGAAAGCCCGAGGCTTGGTCCGCTCCAGTCGCCGCCCCCTTGCTTCGTCCTCGGGGCCTTGCTCATCCCACACCACCGCCGCCGGCCACACACGAAGAGCCACCTGCCACGGAAGGGCCGGCTCTAAGGTGCTGAAGGGAAGGAATCGCGGCAACCATGTGAAGCGGGGAGGGGGGAGATCACAGTCCCCACCCACTATTCCCCTTCGCTGCCGCCGGGCTTCAGGTCAGCTCCTCACACATGTGCTTCATGGCAGCCCATAAACTTCTGCCTTCGAGGTCCCCCCACATCACACCACCCGACCCGGCCTTTGCCTCCTCGCTCTTAGGAACGTGAGGGCAAGAACGTCCATTTGGAAATATAGTGGGAGCGAAGAATAACAAGTGACAATGCCTGGGCTCCCATTGAACTCCGAGCAAGCTCCGTAGGAGGTGCCAAGAAAGCACGGAATGGATCCTGACAAGGAATCCCCCTTGTACAGTAGTTTGTTACCGGGACAAGAAATGAAAACGAGAAAACTTGCCATGCGTTCTCCAGTCACAGCCTGGAAAAAAATACTTTTTTTTTTTGAACTACCAACGACTGAAATCCCAGCGAGATCACAGCCACAGGGCTAGATTTGGCTGGGAAAACGGCTGTGTGTGTTGCAGTCCGAAAAATAACTTTTAGTGTTAGCGTTATTCGCCGTCAGGTCGCAACCGATTTTATTTATTTATTTGTTAGATGTACAATATATGCCGCCCATCTAGACTTGGTCTACTCTAGGCGGCTCACAACAAAGTAAAAACAACTGGCATATAAAACAATTTTACCACAATTTACAACAATAATAATTTGAGATGGAGAATCAGACAAATTTAAGTGATTTATAGTGACCCTAATAGGTCTTTCAAGGTAAGTAAGATATTTAAGGAGTAGCTTTACCAGTTCTACACTCTCAGTGAGCTTCCATAGTGGATTCCCAAGTCCCTCACTACATCCACTATTACATCACAGTACTGTATTATGTTATTAAATGAATCATATCAATTGCATTGAAAGGGAATGACGGGGAACAGGAATAACAGATCATTACAGGCCAAGAACTTGACTAGAAGATCGTGGGAATAACACGATGGAATTTGTGACGCACAGAGATATGATGAATGGGAACTGCATACTGTACTGTATTTTGTTTTCGGATTATTTTAAAAGTCACTAGGAGGAGCTGTTTTAGTTACTTGGGAGAAATGAATAGTAAATAGTTACTTCTAAAAATTGGAATTATAAAGGTAAATGACTATTTTGGTGCTTACAACAGCTGTAACGAATTACTTTAGAAATAACTTTCGAAGCTCTGTTTTGTTCAATTCCTAAGGGTCATTTTTATAGCCCCAGTCCAAACTCATCATAGCCTGCTGTTGTTATTATTTCTCCCTTTTTATTAGTTCATACGGATTATTTAATAGCACTCGCTTAAAGCAAACATCCTAATTAATAGTTTAAGCAGTAAACGGAAAAAGGAATAAAACGATCGTTTCAGTTCTATCCTTGTGACCTATTCCATTCCTTTGAATGCTCCACGCCACACTTTAGTTATAGCTTGTTTTTAAGCTTGCATTGGGTGCAACGGAGCCCAGTTACATCAATTGCCCCATTATTTCCTTCGGATCCTTGGGAGGGTCGTAATCGGAGTGCGGGAGGTGGTGTGGGGCAGTAAAATAATCTCGCAGTGGGGTGAAGATCGACGCCCTTCCCTCCAGTTTATAGATGGCCGGTTCTTGCGTTACAGTTGAAAAATAGGGGGGTTTAAAGATCTGTGAATTGTGAATGCATTCTGCACATGCTCAAAGGCACCCTATTACTGGGTGGATCCTGGGCTCAGCTCTGGCCCTGACAACATACTCTCCCTTCTCTCAGCAGTCTAATATTGTCTGCAGCACAATACCCCCTCCCAACTTGCCTACAAAAAAAAAAACCACACACCTTGCTCCCGGCGTCGATCATCCGGAATAAATACCCACACCAATTCTCAGATCTCTTCTGTGTCTCTTATAATCCTCGTCGCCCTTGTACGTGGTTATTGGAAGTATGGCTTAAAAGCCCCGAAACCTTTGCCTTCGGCATTCTTTGCTTACCTTTTCTGTGGCTACAGCAAGAGTTTCCAGGAGCAACTCAATCCCTCCCGCGGAACGTGCAATCTCGGCTACGCGCCTTTGCAACTTCTCGCGCGCCTCTCCCACGCCAGCCACCCAGTCCACGCCTCGCCCTGTTCGTCTGTCTGTCTGTCTCTCTCTCTCTCCCACCCCATTAACTCTTCCCACCCCAGCTCTTGCTTCACCCGAGATCTTCCGGAGCTTGCCTCCATCGCTCACCCGCCTTCTGCTTTTCATTGCAGCGCCTAAGAATGAAGACTCTTACTCTACTACGTTGACCCTCCACCCCCTAGTTTGCTTCCCCACTCCAGCGCCAGGTTTCCCAAGCCAGTGCCTCAAACTGGTCCGCTGGGATCCCCATATCCAGTCCATTTCTACAGATCCCCGGGACTGAGACACTTGCCACACATTCAGGAAACCCACACGAACTAGATCACTCCGGAGAAAGAACCCCCTCTCTGGCCCTGGCGCTCCCAGCTTTCTCCTCAGCTCTCCTGTTGTTTCCTTCTCCACCCGTTGTGTTACTCTCAGCAATTATCCCGCGCTCCTCTTCAGTATCACGCCGGTTGCTCCCCTCCCCCTCTCGATGTCAAAGCACAACACACACTCTCTCCTTTTCCCTGGAGGTTTGTGCCTCAGTTGTCCCGCTTTCTTTGCTTCCCACCTGAGGCGTTTTACCTTTGACTAAAATTAAAAGGAATGACAGGATCTGAAGACTTAATTACGGGCTCTTCCTCGCCCCCAACGCACGTCTTGTACCTCCGTGGTCCAAGAAAACGGGATTGGGGGGTGAGCCTGGCTCCTGTCATAAACTGCTCCCTGCAACGGTCTCTGGGGCCATTTTAAACCTTCTTGCTTCTATTCTCTTTATTCCCCAAAGCTTCCCTGCCACTCACCCACCCACCCATTTCCTCGCTTCTCTCATGCCACTGCTGAATGGGCGGGAAAAGGCTCTGCTCAGAGTTGTTCTCTCATTTCAGAACCAAACCTCCTCTTGCTGAAGGGAGATTGAGAAAGAATTTACCTGTATTCAGATAAGATCCCTCATTCATGCTTTCCTAGCTGGCACACAAATGCTGTTGACAAAATAGGACAGTGGTATGGTCAGGAGGTGGGCATACTATCCTAAGGTAAACATGGGCAGAGATAAATTGCTGGCTGATTTCTCATAAGGTTCCCAACTCCCAGATGTTTGATGACAGGAGAAACAAGATGACTTCACCATCCTGCTCTGCCCTAAATCATTCTACTGAAATTGACAAAGCATGCCCAAGGCATGATGTTGTCTACGGTGGAGCAGTGAAGGACATTTTCTGGCACCCACGCAAGTCAAGATGCATAGTACTGAAGGCCAGCCATTTTCTGAGGCAGAAAATGCCAGGAGTACTTTTTGCCATGCCACTCAGTAAATATGCAATAGCTTGAAGATGTGGCATTTTATCATAGAGTACGTTTCTCTGCTGACGCAAATTGCACAAGTTGCATACAAAGTTGCTATGGCCACTGTGTCACCTGGCGGACATTCTTCTGGTGACAGCCGTTCCATTTTTAGCTGAATTCATTCTTGGACAGCTGATATACAGGCCATTTTGAGTCCATACTTTAAGCCCTGCTAGCTTGGTGGAACCTGCCAGAATTTAAAGCAGTTCAATAACAGCCTTGGAAATCCAGGGCTTGCTCTACAGCATAGCAACTGAAAAGATGCAGTAATAAGAAACTAAAAGAGAGCCACTGTGTTGTAGTAGAAAACATCAGTGACTATGACTCAAGAGACTAGGATTCAAATCCCTGCTTAACCATGGAAGCTCATTGGCGAGACTAGGATTCAAATCCCTGCTTAACCATTGAAACTCATTGGCAGGTTGTTGTTGTTTAGTCTTTAAGTCATGTCCGACTCTTCGTGACCCCATGGACCAGAACATGCCAGGCCCTCCTGTCTTCCACTGCCTCCCGGAGTTGGGTCAAATCTATTTGGTCGCTTCGATGACACTGTCCAACCATCTCTTCCTCTGTCATCCCCTTCCCCTCTTGCCTTCACACTTTCCTAACATCAGCGTCTTTTCCAGGGAGTCTTCTCTTCTCATGAGATGGCCAAAGTATTGGAGCCTCAGCTTCAGGATCTGTACTTCCAGTGAGCAGTCACTTCCAGTGAGCACTTTGAACATCTCACATGCCTCAAAAACTCTATTACAGTTGTTATAATTCTGAAGCAACTAAACAGCACATCACAACAACAACAAACTTACAATTTGGTTGTTGTGGGTTTTTCGGGCTCTTTGGCCATGTTCTGAAGGTTGTTCTTCCTAACGTTTCGCCAGTCTCTGTGGCCGACAATCTTAAGAGGACAGCACTCTGTGCTCTGGTGTAGTTGGCTTTGGGAGCCAACTACACTCCCAAAGCCAACTACGCCAGAGCACAGAGTGCTGTCCTCTGAAGATGCTGGCCACAGCCTGGTGAAACGTTAGGAAGAACAACCTTCAGAACATGGCCAAAGAGCCTGAAAAACCCACAACAACCATTAGATCCCGGCCGTGAAAGCCTTCGCAAACTTACAATTTGTTGTGCTTTCACAACACTCCAAAATATGCTGCCATCTGGTCTATGATTAGTGGCTGTCAGGGTTCCAGCGGAAAGCAAAACCGATTGTGCAGGCCTGAAGTCTGCGTATTCTTGCCGTAAGGTGTCTGCTAGGAAGATAAGAAGAGGGTAATGGCCTATTAGAACTCGGCCCCATGATTTAGCTTTCATGCTTGAGCTCAGTTATGGAACATGTGAAATAAGGAAAGGACGGAAACTGCTTTTTCCTGTATATGAGCAAATACTTTTCTTTCTTTTGAATTAATTCCATTGGAATTGCAAGGAACCTCCATGTCAGAGGTCATGCCTTCAAGAAAGATTTGAGTGTTGGCCATTTGCATTGTAGAAATTCAGTCCACTGTATCAGGTAACAGGAAGCATTAATTTCATGTGTATGATATTTCTTATTCTCCCTTTCCCTACTTTTAAAAAACATTTTAAAGCATTTAATATTTTGTAATAATTAGGCAAATACTGAAAAATAAAATAGCCTCTACCCTTGGCTCTTTATCTACAAGACACAAGGGTGGTCTATAAAGCCAAGGTAATCTCCCTACTATGGTGATATTCTTCCTGCGATGCAGGAGGTGAAGCATCCCAATGCCTTGCCACATCTGGCTGATGGATCACTTCAGAAAAATTCTAATCAGTGCTCTTTAATTTACCCAATACTGATTTGCAATGTGTCAGTGGTGGTCCTCCTATACCTATAAAAATATAAAAAAATGT